TTCGGCCAATGACGTCAGACTTCTTCTCTTGGCTGCTTCGGCCAATGCCGTCAGACTTCTTCTCTTGGCTGCTTCGGCCAATGACGTCAGACTTCTTCTCTTGGCTGCTTCGGCCAATGACGTCAGACTTCTTCTCTTGGCTGCTTCGGCCAATGACGTCAGACTTCTTCTCTTGGCTGCTTCGGCCAATGACGTCAGACTTCTTCTCTTGGCTGCTTTGGCCAATGACGTCTGACTTCTTCTCTTGGCTGCTTCTGCCAATGAGACTTCCTCTCGAGTTGGCTGCTTCGGCCAATGTTTTGGACGCTGTTGTTAAGGCTCACGTTTTCTCTATGTGGCTGCGCCGGCCAATGTTTTTCAGACTGTTTATATAGCTGAGTTCTTCTCCAATTGACCCAATTGTGCTGCTTTGGCAAATGTTTTTGACACAGTTGTCATAGCTGACTTTTTCTCTAATTGGCTGCTTCGGCCAATGTTTTTGACGCTGTTATGGCTGGTTTCTTCTCTATTTGGCTGCTTCGGCCAATTGGCTGCTTCGGCCAATGTCTTGACAGTTGTCATGGCTGATCTTTTCTTTATTTGGCTGCTTCGGCCAATGTTTTTGACATGGCCTAGCATGCGGACGGTTTTGCCAGAAAAATGAGCGAAACTATTTGAACATTTAATTTTTGCATTGAACATTGTTTTGTTTCCAATGGCTTTGTTAGCGGGGATTGTTTTTGTCCTCTATAGTAATAATGAACATCTCATTGAACGATTTAGTTGCCATGCAGTGACATTGTTTGTCGCAAATCAATTCCCGGCAGTGCCCAACATTTTTACACTCATGTACACTTCCAAGTGGCGATTAAGCTCTTCCAGTTCATCTCGAGAATGAACCGACTAAATGGTCCTTTAATTACTCTATTTGGACCCCAACATAAAACTCAAACCAAATCATGTGGAATGGGCATGTTTAAACACCATCCAGCAGGATCCTTGGACGTTGCCTTACTGAAATCTCTCCATGCACAATCACAGGACCTTAAGCTTACCCCCAAAAAATGCAAACAATGCTGAGCAAAGCTAAGACTAGGACACATATAGGACCAAGTCCCCAAGATCAAAGGGTCACAAGTACATAACAAATATTAACACATATTCGCTGTTTACTCGCAATTGAAGAGGTTCTTTTTTGGGAGGAGCGGTTCTTGTATCCAAAATTAATCGCTAACTTGTGTGTCCACAATTTAGGTACTATGTCTCTCTAAAATGTGCAAGGACCGTTTTTGCAGGTGCAACGCACCACGCAGGTGCAGACGCAGCAAACCATTGCTCTTCGGAGCTCTTGAGATCGGCCTTTCCGGCGGGTCGGATGGAGATTCACCGCCTGTGATTCACCTGCGGCAGGAGACGCAGTGCTTGTGCTTGCAGAGGATTTGTCCCGATGCCAAGGCGGTGCCGAGGGGTTGTCGTCTCGGTTGGACTGTGGTCTTGTGTGACATCACAGCCATGGACTGAGGTCACTTTTGTTCAGGCCTTTCCTGAGAAAAAGCTGGGGGGGGCGGACAAGCTTTGACTCAGACAAGATTTGACTACCCCAGACACTCCATGTATAGAATCACAATGGACCATATATGCCGAGTCATATGCCTACATTTCACAGCCTTGTCAACCACCCCTGGCCGTTTCTCGGTAGTCCCATGCCAGTCCCAGACAGGTCGTGAAGACGCGTGTTCGACGGACTCGTTCACCGTTTTGGCAGGTCAAGGCGCGAATGGTGCCGACACGCGCTGCGGACGTGGAGGCAGGGTCACGTGGTCCGGGCCCGGCCGTGTGCAGGGAGCGGAAGGAGAAGAACGGCCCAAAGAATGGACGAATGGGTTGGTTCAGTTCATATTGTTTCAAGAGAAGGAGTCAAACATGTGAGTCATATATTTATGTTTGTTTCCGATGTTTTTTCATGTTTGTGTCAATCACTTAGTATTCAACACTGTGCGATGCGGTACTTTAGTGCCTCAGAATGGACTTGTCAAAAAATGTTCCTATAGGGGTGCCATCAAGGTCTCCAAGTATGTCCGCCAGGCAGGTTTCTGGCAGTGGGGAAAGCAGAATATTTTTTCCGTTGTGGTTCCCCATGCGGACGTCGACGTTTGATCATGGGAAGTGGACGCTTGATTGGCATGAAGGCGATTTCCGAAGACGATGACAAAACCTCTCTTCAAAGATCAACACATGACACTGTGTTGAACTAGCACTAGCAAGGAAGGTAAGAATGGCGATTTGGATTTGTGTTGGGTGCCAAATTGTTTCTGAACTGCCAACGACCAAAGAGAAACCAGAGAATGCACTCAAAACCACGTGATAGGGTTGGTAGGGATCGGCATGAAATCCATGCATGATCAACTTTTTGTGTTCCTCATATTTTCGACAAAGGTTGTTTCCCCACAAGGTATATAGCTAGCTTTTGGATACTTTGAGCACAGTTTTGCTTCAAATAGGGGGCCAACACCCGTAGAGGGTCTCCCAATTGCACCGTAGAGTGCCATGCGCTAGACCACGACCGTGGCCCGGTTGGCAGCACGGTCGCAGGTGCTGCCGTTCGACCACGTCGTCGTCGGAGACCTCCGTGCCTTGGACTGGCCTGCACCGTGCAGAGCTTCTGATGTAGCATGCCCAAACACTCCATGGGACTGGCATAGGACTGCCGAGAAACGGCCAGGGGTGGTTGAAGTCGGGGGTCAATGTAGGTGAATATGCCATACATGGAGTGTCTGGGATTGTTTGGGTTGTCTTGAAATCCCTGGGTGTTTCTGGCAGACATGGGAGTAGGAACAAGAAGCTACGAACGGGGCGAACAGGCCTTACGAGGAGCCGATCGGACGCGACGAACGGGGCGACCCTGGCATCGCTACAAAGGGAACAAGAAGCTAGCAGAAATGGGACAGGGATCAAAGAACTGCAAAGGAAGGAAAGGAAAGGAAGGAAAGGAAGGAACGAAGGAAGGCGTGCCGTGCCCTGCCCGCCAACCCCCCCCTCGCGCCACAAAATCTGCCAATTGCACTGCTTGCATAGAAGATTGACATGTTAAGCGGCGTTTTGGTTTTATCCTGCAGAGTCTCCACAATGACCCTACCCACTGCACCTACCCTACCTTCCCAACGTTTCCAATTTGTGTTTGGCATGACCACCCTACACTACCCAGAACTCAAGGTATCCCAAGGTCTTCTTTGCTTTTGATCCCTTCCCTCAAAAGCAAAAGACCCAGTGTTTAAATGTTTGTGTAGACTATAGGATTCCTTTCTGTTGTTTTTTATTTTCAGAGCTCCTAAGGCATTTTTAGAACCATGTCATTAATAATTGTGTGATGTCACTTGCTTTGGATCCCCAAATCTTCAGCTTTCTTTGAGAGACACGAAGCTTTCGGATGCCAAGCCCAGGTTGAGACACGGCAGGTACCTCTGTATGGATCCACATACCCTTTGAGAAGGTGATTGGAGACACTTTTATGTAGGTGCCAGGACCTGTGGATCCCTATGACCGGCTGTACAAAACTAACTCTTCTCCAAGATTTCTCTCAGTGAACAGCTATGAGGCTTGCATGGCTCCAATGCACTCTTTTCCCAGGGGTTGAACTGGGGTGCCTCGCAATTTGGAACAACCCAAGTGACCCCGCATGCCAAGTGACCCCGCATCTGGCGCCAAGGCACGCGCTTCGCACGGATCGTTGCGGAGCTGAGAACAGCAGGAGATCCAAAAGGTCCGCACGATTTGGGACAGGATCAGCTGCTCCTGCTGCGTCAGTGTTGACAAAGCTGTCTCTGTCACCAGCTCAAGCTGTCTCTTTCCGAATTTGCTGCTAGCACCCCATGCTTGAACTCCCAGAACAGAGATTCCATCATTTGGCGAGAACCCACGACGATGACGTTATGCGAGTGTCCGCGAGTTTGCTGGATGCTCTCCTCCTTGGTCGCTGAATCGTTCTTCGATCCGTCAACACTTGGCTCAGCTATGCTCAGCTTAGTTTTAGGATAGAGGCGGCCGACCTACACAGGACATATTGATGCAGATAATGCAGATAAGCACATGAATATGGCAGAGCCTGTGGGTTCACTGTGGGTCCGAACTAGACCAGCTTAATACTTGGAAGGTGCAGTTGACCAACCAACTATCCAAGAAGTCAAGCAACTTGTTGCTACCAGATTGCTTTCCATCTAGGCCAAAACACGGAGGGAGACTCTACATGTTAGCTCGCAAGGATACAGGCTTCATCCTAAAGACTGACTGTTGCGGGCCAGTAGATGTGCTCAGAGCCGTTCAACCCAGCAACACATGGACAAAGAAGCAAGCAAGCGAAGTCGCCGCCCAACAAGTGTCTCCGAAACGGCCCCCGTGCGGAACAAGGTTCGGGGTGACCGGGGCGAACTGGGGGGAGAGATCGTGGTGTGGTGGTGACAATTTCTGGAGCGTACATGATACATGTGTCGACAGGTACGGGGTTGGGTCAAAACCAGCCCTGGTCCACCATGTACCCTGGTGCCATGACCCACAGCCAATGTCCACTCACATCAGTTATGGCCCTGGTGGTTTATTTCAGCTTGGTTCACAGGTGCAGGTTTCAGGTGCTTGGTTTTGAGTGACTGTGGGTCAAAGCAGAGTGACTCAACACCAGCACCGCTACCATTCGGATGGTCTTTAGAGTCGCCACAGCGTCTACTTGATTTGGATGTGACCAAGCGTAAAATTAGTCAGTTTACATTTGATACGTATTTGGGATGCCTGGTCTCCCCAGTGTGCCGGTGCGCATGGATCAGCTCTGCAAGATGGGAATGGCTGGGACATACTGGGACAACTCTTCGCCTGATTGTTTGACCCCCCTTTTCAAAGGTGAATGAATCGCTCGTCATCCACAGGTTTTTCCAAGCTCTGTTTGTTTCAGACCAAGAGGTGGCTGCTGGTTCTGGAACTTTCATCCATTCGCCCATCCGGGGCCTGACGTCGGATTCGACGGAGGTTGACGGCGCCTATTCGGAGTGAGTGAAGATGGATTTATGCGGATTCCTCTACAATTCTGTGTGTTTTCAGGGTGTTCACCTAAGGAGTTGGAGTTTTTGACTCGCCCATGATTCACCCTGGTTGCTTTTTCATGCTTTTTCTCGTTTTTCTATGCGATGGCTGGTGAATGTTTGCCCTGATTGGCTTGTAGCCCACTCACTGCAGCTCAGGTGGTTTCGTGGACAACAACCCTCGCAGATCTCAACAGCTCAACTGTTCCTGCTAGTCGGTACCAGAATATTGGTGTGATTTTTGGGCGTGCCCATAGGGTCTGGACATCTATGGCCCAACAGATTCGAAGGCCAGCTCAGCTGCCAGGGTCGCCCCGGTCGTAGCTTCTTATGACTAGTAAGAATGAATGCTACTGACTAATTAGTATTGATGCCAGGGTCCCCGCCCCACAGCCCGGTTCGCGTCCGTTCAGGCTCCAAGGTCGCTCCTGGCCGCTCCTGGCCGTCGATCGGTCGATCGGTCGACCAGGCCATGTCGGTTCAAAGTAAAGGCAGCGCATCTGCTGGAAGCGGTGCTCGCTCCAGCACTGCCCGGGCACCCCACGCTTTGTGTTTTGAGACGGCGTGATTTGGACACGTTGAAGCTACTAGTAGCGATGCACTTAGCTACTAGTACTTGTAGCTTCTTGCTAGTAGTAATGCCAGGAGATACTGACTAATAGCTTCTTGCTACTAGTAGCGATGGCCTCCAACCTACTATATAGCTATTTATATAGTGGGATACTTGGTATTTTATGTTGCTTTCTCTTTACCCAAAGTGTTTGCTCTCTCAAGGATCTATGTAAGTACCTTGCGACAGCTTATGATGCATCACCCGTGCCACCACGTCAAAAGTTCAGCATCCCACCCCCTTCACCGGTCCCACCACCCTTCACCAGGCAGCAGGGGGCGCTTTCTCCACCCACCGAGGTGCAGAAAGCGTCGCTGCTGTCGATCCTGGTGCTGCAGAATTGCGCCTGTGCGATTCTAGTGAGGGGCACCCAGCCGCCGGCCGCGGGGGTGTTAGCTGGATGGAGTTGGTGCGATGTGGAGGATCATGGAGGAGTTGGTGTTAGTGATGTTGCTTGACGTGGTTTGGGCAAAAACATCACCTTTTTGTGATGTTGCACCAGCAAGAGCGACATGATGTTCATGGCAAAACTTCACCTTACAACATGTTGGAGGCGATCGTCTTGAACTTTTAGAGGTCGACACTTTCACATGTGCATGATTGACCAGATATAGATCAAGTCGCGGAGGAATGCCCTGAGCTTCAGGGGTTTCTTGACTGTCCGGAAGCTCCCTTTGAATGCGATCCGGTCTGATCATCGGCGCTTACAGGTGAAACTCCTAGCGTGTGTGAATGATAAGGGACAGATCTGATTGTAAGGGCTCAAAATATATAGTTACTGTATACTGTCATATAGCGTTATTGCGAATTCACCCCCCAAGTCTTATAACTTGTGCCCTGAAAAACAACAAATCCAGTCTTGTCGATCATTTGGAGTTGAAAAATACCGAAGCAAATCCACGCTTGGTGGCCGACCACGCCAGCACGGTCGCCGTCGCTCCAGGTGAAGCAGAGCCGAAAACACTCGGCCGATTGGGCGCCTTGGGAGTCGACGTCGCCGGTGTACGTCGCGCCGTGGGTGCCGCAGTACTTGAGACAGAGATATTCTGGATATGTCAGAGACTCTTACAAAGATTGGTCTGATGAGTTAGGGTGAATGTCGAGTGAAGTGCCGCAGTACTGTAAACATACTTCTGGGGCTTATCATCAACTGTGCTGTGATCATCCACTCGTGATAGCCATCGTGATAGGCCTATATATATATATATATTCTAGGGAGGCCTCTGCAAGAAGCAGCTCTGGTGACAGCTCTAAGAATCTGAAGAAGTGGTTTTTGCCCAAGCACACAGGCCAAAGCCATGCCATTAGATCCAACATGTCCAAAACCACATGGCCAAGCATGGCCAACCCGGGGATGTGAGACCTGGGAGATTCTCGGTTTGGTCCATTGGAGTCCATTGGTCCATGTTCAGATCCGAGTGAGTCGATGTCGCGATGGATAGACATCCCACCCGAAGCAACGGCCTTCTAAGAGGCTTTCCACCACGGTTGATTTTCCCTATGGGTAAATCATGGTAAATTATTGTAAATCCCCTTCTACCAGGACCGACACCAAGACTGAGGTGTCTATCAATAGCCTCGTTGTCAGAGCTAAAGTGTCCTGGTGTCCCAAAACCACCTGAACGGCCTAAACCACCTGGTCCTGGTATACATGGGAATCGCTGTTGTTGTTTTCCGGGATGGTCGAAGAACCCCAGCGAACGGCCGGGGCTCAACGTCCGGAAGAACCGAAAGCGCCAGTTTCGCTCCGTTCGAGTCGCGATGCCAGGAGCCCCCGATAGTAGCGTCCGATCGCTCCTGGTAGAGATGCCCTTGTTACTGGTAGCGAACCTTGTTCCTAGTAGTAACCCATGGGCGGTTCGGGTCCAGATTCAGATTTTTGGGGGGAGCGAAGAAGATTGCAAAGGGTCTGGATTCGGTGTAGGGGGGACCCCCTTCTTTTTCATTTTTCTTTTTCCTGGCTGGGTAGACTGATCAATTTCCCGAACCGAAACCAGAGGGGCGTTGCCATTTGAGCTGCACACCCATATGAATCAGGCTCCCAACATGTCTTTTACATGTCTCTCTTGCTGGCAACCAGAAGCGCCTCGCTCCGAGCCAGCGCCTCGCGGTCGACGAGGTACCGCAGACGGGTGTGATCGTCCAGGAAGCCTTCAAGGCAGTTGTCTCGGGGTGGCACCGGGTGTTGTCGCGTCGAGCGTCGATCGATTGGATCAGCGAGGGAAGGAGCGTCCGGGGGGATCGTAGGTGGATGTTTTCATCCACCTTCACCCAGAGTCTATCAATCGCCTCGTAGAGCTGAGCTGAAGTGTCCTGGTGTCCAAAAACCACCGGGCAAGTTCGGAAGGTCCTGGATTTGGATTTTGTTCATTTGGATTCACCGAAGATCACTCCGATCGAAAAGGGAAGATCTGTCAGAGCCAGCTATTTGGATCTATTTTTGCACGGATGAGGCTCAGAAGGGCATGGGTTCCTCAGAATCATGACTGAGGGCGACTGAGGGGACCGCAGGATGGTCAAATACTTTTTTAAATGTTTCTATCATATGTTGACTGTTAACCAGGGAAGTCAGTGGCCGACCAAGCCGAACTTGTGGAGGTTGGGAGACCCCAATGGCTACATTCCAAGGATCATGGGACTGGGAAGTGAAGGAATGTCTTGCCATACAGGAGCTTGCGCTGAGCCATGAGCATGCATTTCATGATATTTCATGCATCCAACGCCTGCAACATGGACCAGGTCCACTCAATAAATGGATCATATGGATCTTTAAATTGATCTTACACCTGTGACACAGGACCATCAAAGCGGACCGTCATCCAATGGACGAAGCACCACTGCGCCGCCAGGGCCTTGCGAGCTTGGTCTTGGCCTTTCTTCTGGGCGAGTCCATGCAAGGCGCGTCTTCCAGTCACCGTGGAAAAGAACGGTGGTGTGGTGAGGGTGAGACTCCAGTGGTAAACGTTCCGTTTTTTGTGCAAAGCGGTTTGTTCCCATTGCCACACACGTGTCATATTTAGAAATGGACCGACATGGATCACACATGATGACACGACAAAGAGATGGAATCAAACTTCAACAAAG